TCGCACGCCCCGGCCTTGCCGCAGACGGCATCGAGCATGCGGAACACGGGGCAGTCGGCGCCGCCGGCACCAATCGTGCTCAGCCCGACCGGCTTGGAGTACGTGGCAAACGTCTGGCCCCAGACGACCTCGTCAATGACCATGGCGAACAGCTCCCCGCGCGCGCGGCTGACGTCCACCTGCAGCTGTTCAAAGACGTGCGCGACGTCGTCCGAGGCGGCGGCGAGGCGGCTGAGCATGCCGGGGAGACGCTGCAGCATCGCCGTGGCGGAGCGCTGGAAGAGCGCCTGCACGGAGCGCTGCGTGCCGCTGGTGCGGATGGTTTCGTGGAGGCGCCCGAACTGGCGGTGCGACTCGGGATCGTGGTAGTCGCCGTGGAGGAACCAGTCTTGGGTGCAGGTTCGGTATAGGAGATTGACCTTGTCCTGCGCCGCGTCTGGTAATGGGGTTTGGGCGAGTCGGGCATCCGCGGCCGCCTTCAAGAGCAGCTCTGCTTCTCTTAGAGCTAGACATGCTACCTGGCAGCAAGAATCCGTATCAAAGCCTCCCTTGAGAATGGTTTGTAGTAGTATCTGCGATAGCTCCTCGTGGTAGAGCATCTGGATCACGACCTTGTGGTCGTGCAGGTTCTTGGGCGTGCAGACGGTGTCCTTGCGCGGCCACGCATAGGCCTGTTCGAGTGTTGTAAAGTAGACGCTGAAAGCAGCGCAGAGTTCCATGTCCCAGACAGAGGCAGATGCGATGGCCTCCAAGGTTTTGTGGCTCAGGGTCCTGTCGAGGGCCTCAATCAGCGCCCGATGCTGGCCCAACTGGGCGGCGCGGCCCAGATGGCGGACCGTGTGCGCGACAGCCAGGAAGCATTTATGGGCATCGCTGGTAGAGTTGCGCATCCGCAGCCGCTCGAATCTCACGACAGGAGCCAAGAAGCCTTCGGTTGATTTTGTCATTTTGGGTGGTATTGTCGTGGAAAGCCCCGCCAGCGTGCGTACGAGGCTGGCACACTCGACCAACATGCACGAGGGAGACCCGAGCACGGCGACATAATAAGGACATTTGTCTTATAGAGGATAGACAATTTTGGTGCTTTTTCTGCGAGGAAATACTAATCATATAGCGTCAACATATCCGTGTGCACAGTTGCACCCAGGCGCTCAAGCACAATGTACGAGGTCGAAGCGGCGCAGAATGGGCAAGGACGTCGAACAAATGCCAAAGCAAAGCAACATAGGAGTGGGTAATAAAAGCTAGTATAGAGGTTCCGTGTTGGTCATTACCCGCAACTTCAGGTGAAAGGGCTCAACCGCTCGACCCAGAACCCCACCGTGGTGCGGCCGTTTCAGAATGATCGAGAGGTACACCGGGCATGGACTGCAGTCCAATGTTGAGCCCGGGCGGAATAATAACGAGAAGTATAAGTTGGAATGAAAAATTGCCGCGAGGCTGCGGCTGGTTACCGATGGTAACCTGCTGCTGACTATGCCTTACATGACATGCCTTAGAGTGACTCTAGTATTACCCCATCTGGCAGATGCAACCCACCAACCCTCAAGTATATATTTATAAACATGTCGACTCTGCAGGTTGTAACTGATGCGATCAGAAATCAAGCGCAATTTACCATTGTCAGGCGTTCAGGGCCGTGGCCGGGCCGTAGCGCTACCCTAACCCTGGCGAGCTGACTGGAACCGTAATCATCAACACGGCCAAGCTATTGATGCTTCTTCCTTATCTCCTTCGGCCTTGTAGACAGGGGTCATGACGCATGACTCGCTAAGACAAGCAGTCGGACCATAATCTGCATGCATGTTTCGGGTCTTTGTTCTCGGCTATCGCGCAGCATGCCATTGATCTGGCTCTGAGATAAATGTGCCTGCCAAGACAAAACCCACATGGCGACAACCTTGTGGACCCTGCCGATCGAGTCTGGAATGGCGCATAAAGGGCAGATCCCTGCTGTCAAAACGTTGATGACGGATCTTTGCGTCCTGGTGATTTGGTTCCTCCGGTGTCCGCCCCTCGGTGCACGTCCAATGTGCGCAGGAGTAGCCCGACAATCCATGCAAGCGATTACGATGTTTATTCCATGGAGGTTCTTATTCTAACGACAATGTATTCCGCATTATACTAGAGTAGACTATGGCTATCGTACAGAAATATGGTGCTTACAGGGAGGTCAGATACGTGACAAGCAGCCCACCAACGATGGCAACACCGGTAAAGCGGAAACCAAAAATGCAAAATTTGCCACAGCTCGCACGATCCTCCAAGTCCAGCAGCCCGACAATACCCGCAATGCAAACCGAGCACGCCGCGACCGAGATGCCGTAATACGCCGCCCCCATGCCGGCATGCACGCCCGCGCGATACAGCAACGTCGAGACGCCGACGCCGAGCAAAGCCAGTACGCGCCGCGCATACCCCTGCACAAACACGGCCAGGCTGTTCACCCCGAGCTTCACATCATCCTTGAGATCCATGTGCGCGTAGATGGTATCGAACAGGACGGCCCAGAGCGCCGTCGCCGCCGCCAGGCACCGCGCCGCCGGGTCCATCCACGCCTCGCGCATCCCCATGGCCGCAGCGCCAACAAGCACCGCCAGCCCCATGCACGCGCCGAGCACCAGCTGCGGCGCAAACATCTGGCGCTTCGCAAAGGGGTAGTACAGGATGGCAGCGACGGTAGGCACCGCCGGCGCGCGCGCGCCCGCCGGCAGCAGCAGCAGCAGGCACCCGGCGGCGAGCACCGCCTGCGAGGCGGCGAACAGCAGCGCGGCGGCGGGCGTCACGGCGCCGCGCGGGATCGGCCGCGTGCGCGTGCGCTCGACCTGTGCGTCAATGGGCGCGTCCACGAGGTCGTTCCACGCGTGCGCGCCGCTGTTGCAGAACAGCGCGCCGAGCAGGACGATGCCGCCCACGCGCGCCGTGTCGGCGGGCGATGCGTGCAGACGCGCCGCGGCGAGGAGCACCCCGAACAGGTGCGACAGCGACACGACGATGAGCCCGTGCGGCCGGTGCAGGCGCGCCAGCTGGATGTAGGGCGTCCAGGACGAGGGCAGCTGCGACATCCAGTCGCTGGCGTAGTGGCCGCCGAACTTTTGCGCGAGCCGGGATTCGGAGCCCGGTGCGGCGGCGGCGGCGGTGACCGAGATGGTTTTGGTGCAAGACATGGTGGTGGCAAGGGAATTAGACTTGGGGAAGGCGAATGCTGAGGAGATGTCGCGTATTCACTACGCAGGTAGGTCCCCATGAGGGCTTTTATATCTCGTCTATATGAATCTGCGTTACAAGACACCCTTCTCGTGGTCGTCCGAGCGTGTTGGACGCCAACACGACGCACAGGGATCGGCTTGTGGCGTCCAGGCGAGTGGTCCTGCGCGCGGATGAATTAATAAAGTTCAAATTTATTCGTGGACTGATTACACGATCAAGCCATGCAGGCGCCGTGTCCACAAGGCCCGGCTCTCGGGCGATTAGACATTTATTGGACGGCTGAACTGAGCGCTCGGTTGAGTGATTCTGTTCACGCAGTTGAAACCCGCTCGGGTCGACTTTATGACACAATGCTTGAATGCATTTTTAAATTACATGATTATACAACGGGGCCGTTGGCAGGATGCCCATGCGCGGAGGTGGTTTATAAATATACAACCTGGGCTGTGCTGGCTTACACCTTGTTGGTCGGGTGCTGGCACAACACCAGAACCAAACGCAACCACATAACAAATTGCGACGAAAAAAGAAAAAAAAAAGTCCAGCATCATGACGGCTGCCTCACTTCCACCGCCCATCAGCCGCCTCTCCTTCCGCCGGGCCACTCTCGCCGACGTCCCTGCCGTGCGGGCCCTCGTCGTGTCCGCCTTCCGCGGGGACGCCAGCCGCGCGGGCTGGACCACGGAAGCGGACCTCTTTACCGACGAGCGCATCTCAGAAGCCGGGCTGAGGCAGAAGCTTGCGCTGCCCGACAGCCAGGTGATTGTGGCGCTGGACGCGGCCGGGCGCCTGCTCGGCTGCGGCGAGGTCGTGGGCCGGGGCGTGGTGCAGATCGGCATGCTGGCGGTCGCGCCGCGGAGCCAGGGCCATGGGATCGGAAAGGCGCTGCTGGCGCATCTGGAGCAGGTGGCGCGCGCCGAGCACGACGCGGCGAGGGTCGAGATGTGCGTGATTTGGACCCGCGAGGATGTCATCTCGTTTTACGCCCGCAGGGGCTTTGTGAAGACGAAGCGCACGAAGCCGTTTCCGTGGACGGAGCTGGTGAATGGCAAGGCGCTGCGGGATGATTTGTACTTTGTGGTGCTGGAGAAGAGCCTGGGACAAATGTCCTGAGGATGAGGACAAGTTGGTGACTTCGCGAGGATATGCTAATTATACAACGTCAACATTGTGTTGGACTCGGCCGGGCGGAACAAAGAGAGGGAGCTATCGCGAAAGAAGCGAGTAGAATACGTATGAAGTCTGTCAATCGTGGTGTTTCTACCCAATTCTGGTTGAATATTATGTAAAGGCATGCTCAATGTAAGTGTCAGTTTCGTAATTCCATATGCATCTTTTTCTATTCGAGCAAATTCTCTGCTAATTTCTCAACCAAGGTGCATGCTTAGGTAAGCCCTCACAGAATGTGGTTTTCGGAAAGACAGTGACTTGATTTTCCATATTCGTTCTGACGCAATCTATTTCCCCAACTTACAGTACCTGCGTCGAATCTCACAGCTACTTGCAATGGAACCCAGATTCTTCAGTTGCTCAGTACCAGATTGCAAAAGGCCAAGCGTCAGGGCCATCGGCGGCTGCGACAGCTGTAATCGCCACCTGTGCTCTGCCCACCTCTCCCCTTCTCTCCATACGTGCGAAGAAGTATTGTTCCTCTCCCCCTTTCCTTTACTCTACCTAAAGTTGGTCAATATGTAATGCTGATACGATTGGACTGGCAGCCCTTAGATGATGCGACTTACGTATCGCGTATCGTCGCTGAAATCGATTGTCTTTGCGCTCGGATCAACGACGCGGCCGTCTGCCAACTTGCGTCCAGGCTGAATCGCGGTAAAAGTTGCACCATAGAACACTCTTCCAAGGTAGGAGTGGGCGCACTCATGGGAAGCGCCAACTATCATGCCCGCATTCGCTTCCAGGTTCCGGTCTCGTTGGCAGACTATCTAATACAGAGCGAGTACGCAACCTTGAAATTCCTCGAAACTACCAAAGTACCGGCACCTCGAGCTTTCGGTTATGGTCTATGCAGCAATGGAACTGACCATGGCATTGGTGTGAGTTTTCTTCTTATGGAAGAGCTGCCTGGAACACCCTGGACAGGTGGAGGTGCAAGTACAGACGAGAAAGCAAAGATCTGGGGTGGCCTCGCCGAGATCATGGTCGAGCTGGAGCGCCACCCGTTCCCTAAAGCTGGGTCCCTGGGCTTCCAGTCCTCCAAAATGGACGTATGTGCGGTAGCAATCGACAGATTTGTGGTTCTCACTCCCGAGGGCCCATTTGCGAGCCCAACTGCCTACTATACTGCTTTCGCTGAGCAGTACTTGGCGCTAATTGCGGACGGTCAACTCTATACCGAGTATCCAGTGAATGCGTACCTAGTCTACCGGTTTCTCAAGGACAACGCGGCGCAGCTGGCCGAACAAGACGAACAAGCACAGTCTCTGGGGGAATTTTTCTTAAAGCATGTCGACGACAAAGGCGACCACTTACTCGTCGACGACAACCTCAACATCACTGGCATAATCGACTGGCAGATGGCGCGTGTCGTGCCTCGGCGCGAAGCCTTTGGGCCGTCACTTGTTACTGCCGACATGAGTGCATTGTGCAGTGGCAAGGTCTCGCTAAGTGCTGATGATGTTGCCTTGGCGGGTGCACTGCGGCAAAAGGGCATCTCGACACTGCCCAACAGTATGGTCGATGAGAAAGTGAGAAGATTCTTCTGGGGGCTGGCCCTGGAATCCAATTGGTCCGACGCGTTGCCGTTGGCAAATGCAGTACTGCAAGTCTTTGGGGTCGATCAAGATTGGACACAGTGGAGGGAGACGGCACTGAACAAGTACAAGACTGATGAACGGCTGAAAGGCCTTGTTGGGCGTTTTTGCTACTAAAGTCTGCGTAAAATAGGCAACAGGCATTTTTTCTTTGCTTGCCACAAGCGTATATGTAGAGATGGAGTTGATGACATGTAGAGAGAAGACAACACATGGCTGCCCAACCGGGGCGGCAAAATCTCTTGGTATCCAAATACATTGGAAACGAGAGTTGTCTAGGGTTTTTCGGCAAGGGAAGCGCATTCAAAAAAAAAGACACTTGTTATTATTAATTATTAATTTCATTTCTTTTTTCTATTTTCCAATCATCAGAGCCCGGCTTTGAGTTTCTGCGCAGACATTCCCCGCGTTGGATCCGCCATCAAAAATAAATAAATAACTATAATAATAGGTGCTTTATACGCTGGCCTGCAGTTAGCACCATCCCACCGATGTATTCCAACATTATTTATTTACTTTTTCTATATACTCGTCATCACGTTGCAGCCACCAGAGGCAGCCAGATGACGCTCCTCGAGCGGGCCCAACTGCTATATACAGAGCGCGCCCAGGAACCCCCCCCCCCCCCCCGAGAAAACTCAAGACCGGTAGTTGACGCCGTAAATCTTAAACGACGTCTTGGGCCCTGCAAAGTCGACGTCGCCCACGTCGCGGCACTTCTTCGTGCCGCGCTTCTTGCCCGCGCGCTTGCGCAGACTGACGTACTGCCCGGTGCCGGCGCCGGCCTTGCGCAGGGTGTGCGTGGCGGTGGCCGGCTCGTACTCGAACACAAACGCCTGCGCGTTTGCCTGGTCCGTGTCGAGCGTGCCCTTTGCGGTGACGAAGCCGCCGCCGCTGGCGGCCGACTGCACAAAGAAGGTGTTGCCGAAGCGGTCGCCGTCCGAGTTGCTGATGATCCAGCGCTGGGCGGCGTCCTCGTGCTTGTCGGCGGCGGCAATGGCGACGAGCTTGCCGTCCTTGGTGCGGCCGAGGCCCATGCCGGCGGCCTCGATGGTGATGTACCGGCCCTCGGTGATGGCGCCGCGCAGCTCCTTGAAGCCGTCCTCGACGAGGGCGTTCATGTCCTCGTTGGCGTTCTCGGCGCCGTACGGCACGGCCGGGTAGTTGCCGTGCGCGAAGCCGCTGCTGCACTTGGACGGGCCGACCCACGGCCCCGTCAGCGAGCCGAGCGTCAGGTTGCCGCTCCAGTTGTCGTAGTCGAGCGGCTCGGGCATGCGCACCGCCGTGATGCCCGGCCGCGAGTAGTCGGGCGCGCCAAAGTCAAAGGCGTTGACCATGTTGGTCATGTGCGCGCGCCGCCACGGCGTGATGTTGTCGTTGTGCACGTCGTACCCGTTGGCTTGCGCCCACGCCTCGATGAAGAGAATGTCTGACGTGTGGTCGCCCGTCTCGGCAAAGACGTTGCCGCCGCGCGTCCACGGCGAGACAATGTAGCGCGGCACGCGAGGGCCTGCGGTAGGTTAGCAATGGGAGGAAAGTACGTTGTCAATGCTCGTGGGGGGGCTTACCAGGTCCAATGGGCACAACGCCGCGGCTGGCGTCAAAGGGATCGGTGATCCATTCACCGGCGGCATCGCGCGGCGCAACGGGCGGGATGACGTGGTCGGCCCAGCCGCCCTGCTCGTCGTAGCTCACGACGAGGGCGGTGGAGCTGTAGAGCGGGCTGTTGACGACGGCCTGGACAATGTTGCGCTGCAGCCAGGCGCCGTCAATGGGCATGTTGGGGGGGTGCTCGCTCTGCTCCGAGGGCCCGATGATCCAGCTGACCTGGGGCAGGGTGCCGTTGGCGCAGGCGTCGTAAAAGGCGTCGAGGCCGGGGAAGGTGAGGCCCTTGTCGCGGAGGGCGCCGCCGGCGGGGGTGTCCTGGTACTGCTTGAAGTAGGCGAGCATGTTGTCCTCAAAGTTGTCAAAGTCCTGCCAGACGCGCCAGGAGATGCCGGCGTCCTCGAGGTACTCGGGGGTGGTCTTCCAGGTAAAGGGGAAGCAGTTGTTGCCGGGGGAGTCGCAGCCGGGGCTGGCGCGGTTGGAGAGGATGTTGCCGCCGGCGCCGTCGGGGTTGGAGGGCGAGCCCTTTGTGTTGACGGTGCCGCTCATCCAGGTGATGCGGTTGGGGTCGGTGACGCCGAGGATGGCCTGGTGCGAGTTGTCCATGACGGTCCAGCCCTCGGCAATGTCCCAGTGCGTGGGCACGTCCTCGCGCTTGTAGTAGCCCATGTTGTAGTCCGTGTCGGCCGTGACCCAGCCGTCGCCGCGCCCGTTGTTCCAGGCCCCGTGCATGGCGTCCCAGCCGTTGGAGCCGCCGTTCATACACTGCGTCGCGTCCTTCCAGTCGCCGCCGAGGTAGTTGATGTGCCAGGGCGACAGTGTATTGACGCCATTCTTGGTCCCCTTGGTGGCTCTGCGGGGAAGGGTGTCAGGGTGGTGAGACATGATGGGGAATGGGACGTGTTGGCGCCATGGACTTACTGTTTCGTGACAGGCACGCCGTCGTTCTTCTTGACGTTGGGATCCGCAAAATTGCGCACGCCAGCCATGGTACCAAAGTACTAGTGAAGAGGTTAGTTATGAGAAGGTTTGTTCAGATGGTGGGTGGACTTGCGTGATCAAAGGATCTGTTCTCTTGCATAAAGAGAACAATGTGTTTAATGTCCTTGAGGGAGCCAGCCTGCACGCCGACGGCCGAAGCCATCAGGGTGAGGGCGAGCGAAGAGTACAACATTGTGGCTGGATGTTGGTATGGACCAGTGAGGGTGAATCAAGGGTTGCGGACTGTAGCACCGAGGCCGGATGTATAGAGAGACAGCGCAGAAGCCATTCCGAGTGTGACAGGGCGGCTGGGTGAATATATAATATTTTTCAGTAGGAAAGTGCGGCGGCGATAAGCCGAGAAGAACTGACGTATGAAGAGGAGCTAAATGTAATAGGGACGGGGTCTCTGGAGCTCTGGAGAGGGAAATAGGGTTGGGTGGTAGTAAAACTACGGGGGGTCGCGCAAGCACGGACAATGCATAATGGTTCTGCCACACTTGATGGGTGATTTTGGCACGATTTCTTTATTATTGACTGAGAGGACCTGTTCCGCGGGACCGTGGCGTGCAGTTCGGTCGGGGGAGAGGGCCGCAGCACGACCCCGCCCGGCGAGGGCCACGGTGAAGAGAGAGAGAGGGAGAGAGAAGGTATAAAGAATAAAATAAAATAAAATCAAAGTAAAGCAAACAAGCTGCGGGCGCCAGAGCTCCAGAAAGGGAAACCTAGATGATGGTGGCAGCCAATCGGAGTCGGGACCAAGTTTCCAGCCTTGGTGCACAGGGTCATGGGCCAATGACGGGCCGGGACCGTAACACGATGGCGAGGCACGAGTTGCGGGAACGGAGGGGTAGAATCGACAAGAGCTGTCAACGTGGCCAAGACTACGAAGGAAAGGCGGCTACTCACCAACTAGTTAGCCTGGATGGTTGACATTGTGTTGCGGGCGCATGAGACGGGGGCGGTGGTCTAGAGCGAGGGAAATGGCAATGGAAAAGGGCAGAAAATAAAGAGATAGTGTACGAGGAGCCTGTTGCTTTGGACACGTGCGGCCGAGTTGGCCGAGTTGGACGAGTTGGACGAGTTGGACAACCTGTATATGGCTAACAAGGCGGTGACGTGACAACTGGAACGGGTCAGGGACTAGATGGATAAGGAAGCTAGATGGAATCTGGAAGGAGGGAAAAAGTAAAAAAGTCAAAAAGTAAAAGAGATGGCGTCAGTGGCGATTGGATGAGAGTCATGGGTCGGAGAGATGGGATGTTGAGAGTGGGAATAGGATGGAAAAAAGAAGAAAAAATAGACACAAAAAAGGAAGCGACGAGGGAGCATCGTGGCTCAACCTGAGTGAGACCTTACTCACATGAGACTCTCGCAAGGGTTGTATTCTGTTGTCAATATACTCAAACTCATCCATCATACCTAGGTACTACCTACATAACTAGGCAGTCTTGCCAAGTGCGACAGCGGCCGTACTGATGGTGGCGTCAGGGCAGGATCCAGCCACTAAAAGCCACAGGGCTTGTTTGGGGACCGAGGCCAGGGAACAAGACGGGAAGTTGAGGGGATAAACGGGGCAAACTGACGCTTTTTATCTTCATTGTTCTCTGCGGTTTTTTTTTGTACTTTTTCTTTGCACTCTTTATTCTTCCTCGTATCGGTGTTCTGTTCAGCCCACGGTTCACCTTTGACGGGGGCGCGCCCTGCCGAGCTGCCGGGCTGTGCCACCCCTCTATTGATGCCGGATAATAGCGAGCTGGCACGTATCGAGGTAACTACATTGTACAGCGCACCCACGTGCGGAACCTGGCCTTGTCTGCCCGGTGCTGGGCTAGGCCAAGCAAATTTGCGTTCGGTACATGAACAATGAAGCAATCAATTTTTCGTTGCAGTGGTTGGTTTAAAAAAAAAAAAAAAAGTATAAATGAACAGCAAAAAAGACATCGTGGCGGAAAAATCACAGGGTCCTCTGGCCGCATGACGGAAGTTGTGAGTTGCGCTGGCTGCTACAGTGGCTTGCCAAGTGTCTAGCACCAACGGTCCCGTGAAAAAAAAAAAGCCCCCGTCTCGATCACGCAGCAAGGGTCGCAGCGCACGCTCATCAGACCTTGCCCTCTATTGTCTTCATCTCTAGTTAAACCCCATCCTCTCCCCCATGCCCTTCGGATACCTGCAAGACAGCAAAAAAAAAAATACAGACTAAAAAAAATGAAACATGACTTTCAACTAGAAATTTCGCAATCCGCTTCATCGCAGCCCCGCCATTTTGTTCTAGTTGGCCCATCTTTTTCAATGAACCCCTCCATCGGCACTGTGGCTTGCCCCCCTGTTCCCTGCTAGCGTGGCCGATCCCCGCCCATCAAGAGCCAAAGTTTGCGCCCACGTTTTCTCGACCTCGCTTTGTATTAGTTGGTCACCAGGCTCTTCCTCCGGTGCGCCAATAAATCACCTGCAGTGGTCCCTGCCTGGCCCTGGAAGCGAGCGGTGCCCACCCTATTGTCTTTATTGTCTTTGTATGTGTACAAGAACCTGGGAACAGGAAAGAAAAGAAAAAGAAAGCTAGGACCAACGCTTGTGCCTCGTTTACCCCAATAATCCCCAATCATCAAACCACATTGTGCTACTACAGCTGGCGCGTTATGTTATGCCTTATCTGCACCTTGCAAGGTCGATGACATCATCCTACGCCGACGACCGAGGAATTTAGGGGGGAACAGCAGCTAGGGCAACGGTCCGACTTTTTAGCGGGTTTTATCGCGCATGGACATTATAGTGCATTGTTGCCCTCACAATACCTTAGTAATTTCCTCAACTTATATCATAAATAATTATAAAAATAGTAATAAGAGTACTAGCCAGACGAACTTATCTTACTAGCTAGACTTGAATTAAAAATTAATTTAAATAGGAATAATAATATATATATAGAAGGAATTGTTTTTATTTAGGTAAGGTAGGGCTAAGGCCAGGTAGTTAGCTAAGTTACCTTATTATAGTTTTTCTAGCCCTTCTCAATTTTATTAAGGTATTAGAAGGACTATAGAGTTTAATTAGGGTATATTAATAATAATAATAATTTTTTCTAGCCTTTATAACTTTTATTAGGCTACTAGAAGGACTATAGAGTCTAATTAGCGTATATTAAGAATAGTAATAATCCACTATTCTTCTTTCGTCGTAAAATCTTGTACTCTATAGCGAGCTGACGTAACAAACTTCTCATGCGCTAACTGGCCTGACCTCCATCCACCTCCATACTGAACAACTCGATCTGACGGAATCTCGCGCAGCCATGAGTCGCAGCCTTGAGGATATCAGCAAAACACTTGCTGTTATACAGATCCTTACCGAGCATGACATACCATGCTGTTGTGTTGGCATCTCGGCCCTCAAACTTTACGGCGCCCGTCGTATGAGGAGTGTGCGTTGCCCTGGTGCCCTGTGTCGCTGATACGGCCTCTACCGACCTCTACCGACCTCTCTAACATGAAATTGCAGACCTGGGAAATATGCGTACCCGCCGATCTTGTCCCGCTAGCCGAACATCTTTTCCGATCGGACGGCGCCTTCGCTTCTCTTGAGCCGAAAAAGCCTGCGCCAGTTTCTCGGATACATGCGTATAGTCGATTCGGAACGTGCGGGAGCAACCACGAATTTGTCATTGTACCCGACTGCGATGTCCATCTGGACTGCCGTGCTGTTGAAATAACGCACAGCCTCCGTGGGCTACCATACCCCAGTCTGAAAGACTTTGCGCAGAGCTGCATAGACCGACGCAGTCATGTAGAACTGTGTGATTTTGTTGACGGAACCAATCTATCCGAGGAGTGGGGAGAAGAGAATCTGGATTTGAATGGCATGCATGATGTTCGCTGGGTACGGAACATGCAAGCCAAGAAGGATGTCTGTCCGCGGTGGTGGCCGACGCGTCCGAAGCAGAAGCGGGAGATTTGGCAATCGTATGTGCGAACAAAGGAGCAAAGACTGGACTGCTCGCGACCACCGTCAAGGTATGTCACTCAGTATCGGCATATAGGCTCAAAAGACCCGTGGACTATGCTGTCGGATGCGTCATGAGTAGCAAGTCGGTAGCAATGGAAATACAAACATAACCCCAAAGACGCATTTATGAACAACAGACGTTGTGTTAAGCAGTAGCTAAGACAAGGATAAGAGAGCTTGTGTTCTCTGTGAGTGGGAGCTGTATTGACACTCGAATCATCGGGTCGTGTCCCGTTCAATGCGTCCATCAGCGCTGATGGCCCTCCAAGCCTAGGTACCGTTTCATCGCATCCACTTCGGCATCGTCCATTTCATTTTCATAAAACCATTGAAAAAAAGTTTGGCGCCTATCCTCCGCTTCATCCTGGATCCAGCCGCCGATTTCGGTGTGATACGTTTCGATCAGCCAAACCAAGTCCGTGCAGTCCGTGACTTTACGGCGAGTGGCTATCGCGTGAAGCCCCGCTCCATGCTAGCGCCAGCCGATGCCCGCCCCCGCCTACCGTAGGCACCCCAAACTTTGCGCCCACGTTTTCTGGATGACGCTTTGTATTAGTTGGTCAACAGTGGTTGGTGCGCCAATAATCCCCAACAATCAAACAAAAGTCGCTCGCTTGCCGCCCCTCCTGGAGGACCCTTTGTCTTGGGGATTTTTTTTTGTCTCAGTCGGCACGTCACCGGGCTGCGCTGCGCAAGCATTTGCTGAAACGAAGGCAACCATAATCTCAAGCCCAAGTTGGCTTGCCTCCAACATCTGTCGCCACCGTCGTCGGCGCGCGTGTGTGTGTGCCTCGATGAGCATCTTGCATCATCTTCACGCCGCAGCAGCATGTATGCGCCAGTAAAGACCACGCGCCTGCGACAGGCCAGGTCGCCCAGGCTGTCGTCGCTCTGCGGCGGCTTGGTCGTGCTGGCCGCCGCCACGCTGCTGTGCTATGTCGTCGTCGCACTGCGATATGCGCACACGCTGCCGCTGCCCTTTTCCCGGCTCGCAGTACCGCCTAGCGCTGCCGATGCGAGCAATGCGAGCAACGTCGCCGTGGCCGACCATGATCGCTTCACACTGCACCCAGAGCTTCATGTGGCGCGTCCCCGGCGCACCCTCGTCTTGGACTGGACCATCACGCGAGAGAAGCGCCGGCCGGACGGCGTCCTGCGAGACGTCTACCTGATCAACGGTGCGGTTTACACCATGTGCGGCCTATTTGGCTCTGATACTGACAAAAGCGCAGGCCAATTCCCTGGTCCCACGATTGAGGCACGCTCTGGTGATGAGCTGCAAATCACCGTGACGAATAACATTCTCAACGACACCGATGCGGGCATTTCCATGCACTGGCACGGCCTTTTCATGAAAGGTAGATTGCGCTTCTTTTGATTCCACGCTCCATCAGTTCATTAATTCCCGCGCAGACGCCAACGAAATGGACGGTGCAACAGGCGTCACGCAGTGTGCCGTCGCCGAGGGCCAGTCCTTTACCTACACCTTCCACATCGACCCCGCGCAGCACGGCACCTACTGGTACCACGCGCACTCTGCCGTGAAGCGCGCCGACGGCCTGTACGGCGGCCTCGTCATCCACAAACCCGCCGATGAGGGGACCGGTCACACCGACCAGTCACGACACGAGTACGACGCCGAGCGGCTTCTGCTTATCGGGGACTGGTATCATCGCGACGCGGACACGGTTCTCGGCGAGTATAAAAACCGCCGGAATTTTGCCTACGAGGTGCGTAGAAAAAAACACGAAAAACGACAACCATCGAGTAATGACGCTGGAGCAAAAGCTAACTGGTTTGCTAGCCCGTGCCCGACTCGCTGCTCATCAATGGCGTCGGCTCGTATAAATGCTCCAATGCGCGGCCCGCCCGCCCCATTGACTGCGTAGAGACGGAGGTGCCCGCGCTCGCCATGGTGGCGGACAAGGCCGTCCGGCTGCGCGTCGTGAATACCGGTGCGGCTGCCGGCCTGTCATTTCAGCTGCAAAACGGCACCGTGCAGCTGCTCACCGTCGATGGCGGCGGTTACGTTGCCGACGACACGCCACAGACGCCCACGATCGGTGTCCTGTACCCGGGAGAGCGCATGGACGTGCTCCTGCTCCCGGGCGACACGCCGGCCGACGACGAGCACGTACTCGACACGCAGATGAAGATCGTTCTCGATGCAGAGTAGGTGATACTTGATGTGGTACGCTGTCAAAGCAGAGCTAATTTCGAAACGCAGACTCATGCCCATGAAGAACTGGGCCCTCACCCGCATCCAAGACTTTCCTCTGACGTGGCGGCGACGGAGCACGGCCGCCAGCCTCGCCCGCCGCGACGTGCGGCCCGCCGTCGCCGTCTTCAACATGAAGGATGCGCACGGCGCCGAGGTGCCCCCGGATGCGGCCCTGCACCGGGACGCGGCTGAGACGGCGCTGCTGTACACCAGCCTGTCCATCAACAACTTCAAAAAGGACGAGCCGTGGGGCGAGGTCAACCACACCTCGTGGGTCTGGAAGGACCCGCGCGCGAAGCCGCTGCTCGCGCTCGACGCGGATGCGTGGGCGGACGGCACCGAGCAGGCCAACACGCTGCGTACGTTCCGGGCGCCGTGGTACCGTGACGGCCACGATCGGTGGATGGATCTGGTGGTGAATAACGTCGACGACAAGGGCCACCCGTTCCACTTGGTGCGTGTTTTTTTTTTCAACGTTCATAATGTGCAAAAGCTGACAAATGATTTTTTCGTGCAGCACGGGTATGCGTTTCACGTCATCGGGGCCCGGCAGCTGGATCTGGGCCGTTCGTACAACCCGTACGAACCGGGCGCGACGCAGGCGCAGGCCCAGTTCTTCAACACCAAGACGCCGCGGCGAAAAGACACCGTGTATATCGAGTCGCACGGCTATGTCGTGTTGCGGTTTCCGCTGGACAATGTTGGCGTCTGGCTGATGCACTGCCACGTGCTGTGGCATCAGGCGGTGGGGATGGGCGTCGTGCTCCAGGTCGGCAACGTCACGGCCGCGACGAAGCAGAGGGCGGGCGATAGCTGCATCGCGTGACAGCTCAAGGATAATGTCATATAGTATTGACTGTAATTCTGACAAGTACATAAATTCAAGCAGAAAAGGCGTCGAGGGTCATTGGCCGATAAATCGCGGCGCTCGTGCCGATCTGCATCGTGAGCATTGACCGCGACATCACAAGCTCTCTCCAATCGAGCACAAACCTTTTTCCAAGTCTGGCGGACTGCCCATTCCACATTGGGCGTCGCCCCCAATCGTGCCGCCAAGATGCTGCCACTACCGATCCTTGGGGACGGCCGAAAGCCTATTTATTGTTAGTGCAAAAGCCGAGAATGGAGAATGGGTGGTGCCGTTTCGTCGAAAATCGGGCGGACAGGTTGGTGCATTTTCATCAAGTCACGTGCGCAATCTCAGATCGGCGGCGCTAATACCAGGCAAACACTAAAACCCAGTTACGAATCAAAAAGGTACAAAGTTACCAGCCCCGCGAGAACCGGTCAGCCCTGACTGACCGACGTTCCCTCTTCTGTCTTTGCTTCTGTCTTGCGCCGACGAGACTGGCACAAGGAGCGGACCTGGACATGATGTGTATCATATTTGCAGCCGACTGCTGTCACCCCTCATAGCACACACCGCTGCTCATCCTTTGGCGAGAAGAGAGCCGTTTCTTCCTCCTGCCCGCCAAAACAAGTGCAAACGGTCGGTGCCATGAGCCCTCAGTTCCTGGCGCTTGAGCGTGGTGACGACGCCTCGCACGGCCCGCCGCAGCGACGGGCCAACCATAGACCTGACGAGGCAGTCCCGCGCATCAAGAGATGGGCTCCCAAAGTGAAGACTGGCTGTACAACGTGTCGGTGAGTAAATGTGCCCCCCCCCCTATTTCCCCCTAATACGGCCATGAATACTGACATGAGTACCTAGCACGCGCCGCGTCAAGTGCGACGAGGCCAAGCCCGCCTGTGCCCGATGCACATCGTCCAAGCGCAAATGCGGCGGCTACCTCGAGTACGCCTCGCCGCCGCAACGGGCCTCGCCCGCGTCGTCCATTGCCGAGCAGCCCACGTTGTCGTCGGCGCCGCATGGGCACACCCCCACGGAGCACGAGCGACGCATGTTTCACCTGCTCCGGACGCTGACGGTCCGCCAGGTCCACGGCGGCATCAAGTGCGGCTTCTGGACCACGAATCTCCTGCAGGCCACGTACGTCTATCCCGCCATCTGGCACGCTGCGCTCGGGCTCGCCGCCATGTACCAGCGGGCCATGATGCTGCTCCACGAGGGGCGGTCGCGCAGCGCCCAGGAGTACAACACCTTTGCCCTCCAGCAGCTCAGCATATCCTGCAGCTACATCATCACCATGAACCACAGCACCGTGTCCGGCGCCGAGCAGGAGATGCTGCTCACCGCGAGCGCCCTGTACACCGGCATATGCCTGCTGCGCGCCGACCTGCACCAGGCGCTGTCGCACGCCGCCGGTGCCGCCAAGCTGTCCAAGCAGTGGAACTTTTTGGACCACAATGTCGACAGGCAGGTGACGGAAGGGGTCATTGGCCGCGTGCATACCCAGCAGCTCCTCCGCGATGTGTATCACTCGTTCCACTCCATAGGTAGCTTCTCCGAGGACATTATCGCGCACTTCCAGGCGTTTGTCTGGCACATCACGGAGCCCTTTGCGTCTGTAGATGAGGCGTATTATGCGTACTTGAATATTCACTCCGGCTGGGCGCGGATAAAGAGCTGGGAGCCGACGCACGGCATGATCCGCGGGGCCTCGCCGTCGCCCGGCCAGATGCAGGTGCGGCAGCACGCGCTCAACCTATGGCGGCTCCGCTTCGAGGGCTACCTGGAGCGCGGCGCGTACGCGGAAGAGCACGTGGAGACGATTGAGCTGCTGCGGCTGTTTCATCTCTTTGAAGACACGTTTGACATGCTCATGATCCACCGCACGCCCGAGATTTGGGTCCGGAACGCGCACCGGTGGGAGCGCATTGTGAAGATGGCCGAGCGTCTGCTGGGGAGGCAAAGCGCGCGCGACGACGCCGGGCCGGGCTCGCAGGGTATATTCTTCTACTCGCTCTCGGTGCACGAGGTGCTGCGGATGACGGGCTTCATCTGCCGCAGCGGCGCGATCCGGCGGCGCATCATCCAGCTGCTGCAGCAGTGGCGCCACCTCGACGGCCTGTGGGACAATGACCTGTCGTGGCGGCTGGTCGAGGCCAAGATGCTCATGGAGGAGGCGGCCGTGGCGGCGGACGCGCCGGCCGCGTGCGAGTGCGTGCCCGGTGTGTTTTTTTGCATGGAGCACCGCGTCGCGTATGTCAAAATGGACTTGCCCGAGGAGGGCGGACTGCGCGCCCATATGAAGACGGGTAAGCAGCTCAGGCACGGACTGCCGGGGCAGAAGCTGTGGATTGAGCTGGGACGGTGAGATGATGTGTGAGGCGGCATTGGAGGCATAATATTTTACAAACCATTTTGCATATACATGATATAATAGATGACATACTACGTAGTAATAAAGCACATACAAGCCACTGCAACGGTGTACTGACCGAGGCAGAGATATTACACAGTACTTCAATCCAATTCCGTGCCAGTAGGGGCTGATGTACATTTTGCTGCTACGCGACAGATGACGCGAAGACGAGTAACAACAGGCACAAGAATAAAGCGGCACAAGAATAAAGCGGCACAAGTAAACAAAACATATACAGCATCCCAGTCGTAAAATTTATCAATAACACCTTTTAGGGATATAGAACCCCCTTTTATGCCTGATGTCCTGGCTCGAGGCCATCCTCTATGTGCACTCCAGCTTTGCTCCTCGTGCCATCTAGCTACACCGTCACCACGAGCTTCCCGCCCCTGACCTCGCCATTGCGCATGCGATCCAATGCCGTATTCACCTCTGCCAGGCCAAAGTGATTGCCCACGATCCGGGGCGCCCGCAGCCGTCCCGTGCACAGGAGCACCTCCATCCACTCGCTCAGCGCGCGGCCCACCTCGGGCACCTCGTGGAACAGCTTGAGCGGCACGGCATGCATCTGCACGCCGGCGCCCGTGTTACTAGGCAGCCCCGCGAGCCCGATGAGGTGCGCGCGGCGCTCCTTCCGCGCGGGCGGCGTCGGCGGCGGCGACAGCGTCGCCGTCTTTTGCAGCGCTTGCAGCAGCCACGGCCCGCCGCTGTCCTTGCCGCTCGTGTCCAGCCCAAAGAAGAGCCGCGCCCCGACGGTCGCGCGCAGAATGGAAACGGCCCGTCGCGGGTCGCTGTTGTCGATGAGCAGCTCTGGACGCGCGTGCGTGTCGGAAGATAGCCACAGCCCGTGCCGCGCTTGGTCGACGAGCACGGCGACCTTGAGCCCGGCGAGGTGCGCGAGCTGCATCGTGAGGTACGCGGACGTGGCGGATCCTTGGGATTCTGTCAGTTTTTTTTTTTAATCCGCCGTGAGAAAGACGCACCGCCCCAGATGGCCACCCAGTCGCCCTCGAGCGCCCGCTCGTGGTCCTCGATGCCGTGCAGCGCCTCGTGCCGCACGTCCGCCGGTATGCGCGCCGGGTCGACGCGCGCGATGAGGGCGCGCAGGTCGGGCCCGTCGGCGAAGCGCGCCCCGAAGCAGCTGCCGAGGGCCAGCGCGGCCGTGACAAAGGCGACGCCGAGGGCGGCGCCGTGCGCGGGCGGCACGCTGCTTGGTAGACGCACGGCGTTGCACCCCAGCGCCACGACGAACTCCTGGTACGCGGCTTTGCGCGCGTCCCGGTAGTCGGTGGAGATGACGATGACCTGGTGGTTTTTGTGGTCAGTGGGAGAAAACGGGTAGGGGAGGGGAGGGGGGGGGAACCTGGTCGCCGGGGCGGAAGCGCGACGCGGCGTGGCTCTGCGAAACAGTGCCGACGAGCTCCCGCCCGGGGAGAAAGGGGAAGTGCGGTATGCCAAAGTTGAAGTCGCTAATGGATGAGGTTAGCTGGGAGATGCGTGTTGGGGGGAGGAGACGTACGGCGACTTCCAATCGATGGGGTTGAGCCCAATGACTTCGGTCCGGACGAGGATCTCCGTGCTGTCACGGAGTACGGGAATAGGATGGTCGTGCACCAATGTATATTTCTCTCGCGGGCCGTATAGTATTAACGCAGACTGAAACTGGTTCCCTTGCTTTGTTTCGGCGATGTCATGTTGAGGGGTTGGCGATCTCGAAGTCATCTTTCGTGTGACTTGGCTGCAATTCGCCAATGTGTACCATCTGCACGTTGAATCAGCCCCCCCGTGTGTAATGAAATAATGTTTCAGTGCACACGTGGAGATGGGATTCCCGTTGTTCGGAACCGGCTCGAGGCATTCTTCTAGCGTTGATGGAGGGCATAGGTTGCGTGTATCCAGGCCGGATTGCGCCATCGCACAGGCTGCCACTCTACTTGAGCACGATTTGCTTTGACCCGCCGATCATCATCCGATAACTGGAATTATCCGATTTTTTGAGGCAATTTGCATTTCTTGGCGCGTTTCTACTGGATGATGTGCATGATATCGCTGGGCTGCACTCCCCGCGTATCAAAGCCGGGGCTGGCGTCCTGCAAGGGCTGGCTTGCCGGTATATCAAGTATTATTGAAACGTGCAGACGCCCGGAAATACGATAGGCGAACTGTTCCGAGCATGCGACATCGGAGTTTATTCCGGTTCGCTGACGGACACAACGGCAAGTGTCCAACTGCACGATTGCAAGGCCACACTACAATGAAGCGCTCGCAACCAGGCACAGCACAGACCCGTTCGGTCATGAATACAATACTCCATTGGAGCTTTTTTTAATCAGTAGCCTTCCAGTGATACTGAGCCGCTGGATGATCAGCAGGCGGGAAAGCACCGCCCTTGTTCCCAAACAGGTTCTCTCTATACGTCCCCCCATCCACGGCGTAGTCGTCCCAGAACAGGCCCCTCTCGCGCAGCACGGGAAACAGAAGCGTAATAATGTCCTCAAACGACTCCGGAAACAGCGCGTACGCCAGGTTGAAGCCGTCGACATCCGCCTCGCGCACCCAGCGCTCCATCTCGTCGGCGACCTTTTCCGGGGTGCCGACCGTCGTGGCGCCGAGCCCGCCAATCTTGATGTGGTTGGCGACGGTGTGCTTGGTCCACCTAGGGACCTCTGGCGTCGCCTTGGACCAGGCCTCGACCGCGGACCGGATCGCGTTCGACTCGACGTGGCGCAGCTCCTCGTCGTCGCCGTACGTGGCGAGGTCGATGCCGGTCCAGCCGCCAAACAGCGCGAGCGCGCCGTCCTCGGAGCCGTACTGCACCAGGTCTCTGTACTTGGCGTCGGCCTCCTCCTGGGTGCGGCCGAGCACCGGGCAGAAGAGCGCCAGGAACTTGATGCCGCTGGGGTCGCGGCCGAACTCGTCGCGCGCCTTGGCGCGGATCTCGGCGACGTTGCGCGCGACGGTGGACGGGCTGTGGCCGGCGACGAAGATGGCCTCGGCGTTCTTGGCGGCAAACGCCTTGCCGGCGCTCGACGTGCCGGCCTGCATGATGACGGGCGTGCGCTGCGGCGACGGCTGGCAGATGTGCGGGCCCGGCACCGAGAAGTACTTGCCGACGTGGTCGATGGGCCGCACAAGCGCGGGGTCCGTGTACACGCCGGTTTTGCGGTCCAGCTTGACGGCGTCGTCGCGCCACGACTGCTGCCTGGTCTTTATTAGTAACGCGTTGCCATGTAGTTTGTAAAGCGCGGAGACGGGATTTGGGGCATACCAGAGCTTGTACGTCACGTCAATGTACTCCTCGGCGACGGCGTAGCGCTCGTCGTGCTTGGGCTGCTCCTGGAAACCCAGGTTGCGCGCGGCAGAGTCGAGATAGCCCGTGACGACGTTCCAGCCGAGCCGGCCGCCCGTCAGGTGGTCGACGGTGCTGAGGCGGCGCGCCAGGTGGTACGGCTGCTCGTACGTCGTGGCCACGGTCACGCCGAAGCCGAGGTTCCTGGTGGCGGCCGCCATGGCGGAAACGACGGCGAGCGGCTCGTTGACCGGCCACTGTGCGCCCGAGATAATCGCGGGGTCCGGGTTTCGCGGGCCTTTGTAGACGTCGTACGCGCCCTGGGAGGGGTGTTAGTGATGGTGGGATATGCGTAGGGGGGTGACGGACCAGCACGTCGGCGATAAAGATGCCGTGGAATTTGCCCTCTTCAAGCTTCTTGGCCAGGTTCACCCAGTGCGATAGTTCGTTGAAACGCCAGGATTGATCGCGCGGGTGCTGCCAGAGACCCGGGGACTGGTGGCCGCTGCAGGACTCGACAAAGGCATTGATGATGAGTTTTTTCTGGACCGCCATTTTGCAGCGATTTTTAGATGCAGAGTTTAGATTTCATCGAGACAGTGTCTCTACACTGGATAAGAAGGGGATGCATCAGGAGTGCAGCGTTGTGTTTCCGATAGCGGCCGTCGATGCTGCGCCGTCATGGGCCGAATGGCGCCATATTGCCGTCGGCGCATGCAATCCCCAAGCACATCGCACTGACGGCCAACACAAGGAACTTGGCCGACCGATGGAACGGTATTGGGAGCTAGCGAGATGCAAATCATGAGCGGCCGATTCTTTTCGGTTTTTGAGTTTGATGGATGCCAAGTTTGGATGAAGGAAATGGCGCATCCGTCCCGTACGGTTGCGCAATACTCAGCCGTGAAGCCGAAACACGCCCCTGTGGTCGAGGAAGCCGCAGGATAAGATGTGATGGAATAAATACAGTCTCGCGGTGCCGGAAAACAGAAATAATGCAGATTTACACTGCAGACTCCATCAACCTGCCAAAATGTCCGCATCTCTCCTCTCGAGGGCAGACGGCCCCAGCAGCGCCGTCGAGCCGCCGCTGCCCCAGGTCGCCGGGTACGTCGTCATCATCGTCATGGGGTTCCTCATTGCGCTCGTCATGATCTTCCTGACGCGGGTGCTGAAGCGCACCGCGGGCGAGGACAACGAGACGACCGAGATGTTCATGACGGCGAACCGCTCCGTCGGCACCGGCCTGACGGCGTCGGCCGTCATCTCCTCGTGGCTCTGGAGCACCGCGATCCTCGCCAGCAGCCTGGTGGGCTACAACTTCGGCGTCGCCGGTCCGTTCTGGTTCGCTGCCGGGTATGTTTACTGTTCGGCTTGGGACTTTTGGTGCGCGCTCGTGATGCTGATCCCGTGGCTAGCTGCTCCCCGATGATTGTCTTCTTCGCCGTGCTCGGCATCGCGTGCAAGCTGCGCGTGCCCGAGGCGCACACGCTGCTGGAGATTGTGCGTATCCGGTACGGCAAGGTCGGCCACATTGTGTGGATCGTGCTGTGTCTGATCAACAACATCATTGCCATTGCCAACATGCTTCTCGGCGCCAGTGCCGCCATCTCGGCGCTGTAAGTCCTCGCCACATTCCCTGCGATTCCGAACTTGCTAACAAAAGCACGGACAGCACTGGTATGCACATCATCGCCGCCACCTTTCTCTTGCCAGTCGGCGTCATCATGTACACGTTTGTCGGCGGCATCAAGGCCACCTTCTTGACCGACTACTTCCACACCTTTGTCATTACTCTCATCGTCTGCTTCTTCACCATCAAAGTCTGGCTCACGCCCGAAATCAGCTCCCCCGGCGCGCTGTTCGACATCATCACCCAGCTGGCCGTTGATCGGCCCGTAGCAGGGAACCACGGCGGCTCCTACCTGACCATGACCAGCCGCGATGTAAGCTCCCGCTCCGATCCCCGTCTCCACGGGACGACCTCTAACCCCCGCAGGCCATCTTCTTCGGCATCATCCATACGCTGGCCAACTTTGGCCTCGTCATCATGGACACTGGCTTCTTCGCCAAAGCGTTCAGCGCCGCGCCGCACGCCGTGGTGCCGGGGTACATCATCGGCGGCATCGCATACTTTGCCATTCCGTGGTGTCTGGGCACCATCATGAGCTTCTGCGCGCTCGCGCTCGAGACGCAGCCCTTCTTCCCGACGTACCCGCGGCTGATGAACGCGGCCGAGGTATCGAGCGGGCTCGTGCTGCCGTACGCGGCCGTGGCCGTGGCCGGCAAGGGCGGCGCCGTGGCCGTGCTGCTCGTCGTCTTCATGGCCGTGACGTCGACCATCAGCGCGCAGGTCATCTCCGTCTCGTCCATTATCAGCTTCGACATTTACCGCCAGTACGTCAACCGCGCCGCCAAGGACAGCGACGCCATCCGCTGGAGCCACATTGGCGTCGTCGGTTTCGGGCTCTTTGCCGCCGCCTTTTCCACCGCGCTGCACTACGGCAAGGTCGACCTCGGCTGGACCCTGTACATGCTCGGCGTTCTGACGTGTCCGGGCATCTTCCCGACCATCTTTACCATCCTGTGGAAGCGGCAGTCGCAGGCCGCGGCGGTTCTGTCGCCGCTCCTGGGTCTGGCGACGGGGATTGGCGTCTGGCTCGGAAGCGCCTCGGCGCTGTACGGTGAGGTCACGGTCGCGTCGACCGGTCAGACGCTTCCATGCGTGTACGGCACTGTTGCCTCGGCGTTTAGTCCGTGCGTGTTTTCCGTCCTGATCACGCTGGTCAGGCCGGCGAATTTCAAATGGGCCGACTTTCGCAAGGAGCGTCTCGCCTTTACAAAGTCGGCCTCGGGCGACTCGGATGAAGAGCTCAAGTCGCACGAGGCGCTCATCTCGCAGTATGCGGCTGACAAGCTCCGTCTCAAGCGCTGGCTGCGCATCTCCTCGCTCTGGGCTTTGGCAACCTTTCTGGGACACTGGGTTTTATGGTTCGTTTTTTCGGTTTTTTTCCCAACAAGGAAAGTTCACTGACATGATGCAGGCCACTTCCCATGTATGCGTCGCATTACATTTTTGGAAAGTCATTTTTCGAGGCCTGGGTTATTGTGTCCATTATTTGGGTCTGGGGTACCATGCTGATTGCTGGTTTTTATCCCCTGATAGATGGGTGGCGAGCAATTCGGAACGTTTTTGTAGGTATTCGAGGTTCTAGGCAAGACTAGCACTTGGTGGATCGACTAGTTAATAAATCTGTACTGGACAGTGAGATGAATCTTGAAGCAAGTCGCACTGATAGATGTATGTGCACTTCCCACTTACCTGGTGGCCAGACAAAGCGCAAGTCCGTTTTATTCGCTTCATCCTTTATAAAGCGCCCAGTTGGTTAAAAAGGCAATTACTTGCAAGAGCCTCGGAAAAGTGGAAATAATCACCGTTTAAACCTTGTTGCTGAACTGGTGCTCCCACCAGCCATTGTCGCATTAATGTCGATTTGTAAGGCGGATGTAACGGATAGCGCGGGACGTACCATCGCATCGTGATTGGCGTCATCAATCTGTTAGTAATACATGGCCATCGTGGCCGAGGCTAAAAGGAATTATACTTGCAAGCTTCACAATCGCGTCGTGGAAATCCTCTCAACATCCCATTTCATCGCTCCCTACTTGTGTACCCTTTGTTGCATCACTACAGACCAGCTCTGCACAATGTGGGCAACCCAACAGCGCCAGCACCTGGCTTTACTCGCCCAGAGCTACAAGTGGCTCAAAGCGCCGTACATCATCGGCGCACCCATGCGCGTCCTCGCCGGCCCCGAGCTCGCCGTCGAGATATCCGCCTCAGGCGGTCTCGGCTTCCTCGGCCCGCCCCTCAAAACCGCCGACGCCGCCATCGACCTCGCCCGCGCCTCACAGCTCGCCCGCGCCTCGCCGCGCCTGCAAAACCACCTCGCAACCGTGCCCGTCGGCATCGGCTTCCAGACGTGGACGACGGCGCTGCCCGCGGCCCTCGACGCGCTGCGGCAGCACCCCCCGTGCGCCGTGTGGCTATTCGCGCCGCGCCGCGGCCAGCCCGAGCTCGACGAGTGGACCGTCGCGCTGCGCCAGCTCGCGCCCGCCATGCAGATCTGGATCCAGGTCGGCACGCTGCGCGAGGCCGTCGCCGCGGCCGCGAGCGCGTCCCCGCCCGACGTGCTCGTCATCCAGGGCGCCGAAGCGGGCGGCCACGGCCGCGCCCACGACGGGCTCGGCCTGCAGGCGCTGCTGCCCGAAGTCGCCGACGCCACGCGCGGGAGCGGCATCCCGCTCGTCGCCGCGGGCGGCATCGCGGACGGCCGGGGCCTTGCGGCCGCGCTGAGCCTCGGGGCCGCGGCGGGCGCCATGGGCACGCGGATGCTCGCGGCGGCTGAGACGCGCATCAGCCGCGGGTACCGGGATGAGGTGCTGCGGGTGTGCGATAGCGCGACGTCGACGGTGCGCACGCAGCTGTATAACCACTTGCGCGGGACGTATGGCTGGCCGGACGAATTTGCGCCGCGCACGGTGGTGAATAGGAGCTGGACGGAGCACTGCGAGGGCGTGCCGTTTGAGAGGCTCAAGGCGCTGCATGACGAGGCGGCCGAGGCGGGGGATGCTGGCTGGGGCCCGGAGGGTAGGCTGGCGACGTATGTCGGGGCGGCGGTCGGGCTGGTGAGGGATGTGAAGCCGGCGGCGGCGATTGTTGCTGAGACGAGGCGGGAGGCCAAGGCTATTTTTACGGCGCTGGCAGTGCTGTAGGATGATTGGTAGAATTCATGTTTGTATCTTGAGAGGAGTGTGAGGCCACAGCCATATAATAGACACACATATACGTTATACGCACAAGTTGGGCACTGACTGACGCACACTGTGCACTGTGCAACTTTGATGCCAGAAATAAATGACGCCTCTTTCAAAGTCTGGCCAAGTATATTCCGTTGCGTGCTAGACCATTATGTGAATCCACATCTCTCACGATACCGACTGAGCGATGAGAGCCGCCCCAAGACTGGAGCCATCCTTGACCAGCCGAATTTTGACTCTCGCCTCACCTTGCGGCCCAATCCGAGGCACCGCTCGCAGCACTTTCCGAATCTCCTTTTCAAACGGTGGGTAATGCTCAAACAATGAGCCGTCAATGCCGATTTCGATGCACCCGGCAGGTGCTGTCATTGTTCTATCCGAGTCGGCGTCGTCGTCGGCGCGGCCCCGGCCGAGTGAGCAGAATGCGCTGCCTGATGCCAGCCATCGGTACCACGCCACCCATTTGCGAGAGGCTGCTGGCTTCAACGTGGAATATGGCAGCCTGCCAGATTGAATTATGATTGCGGCCATGGCAGCGCCGGCAAGCTGCGCAGCGCGCTTCATTATTGCGGCTGCGAGAAGCTCGAGGGCCTGGATGTCCTCCAAGGTGACGTCGTCGACGTTTAATCGTTCCGAAATATGAGTCATTGTCCGCTCCCAGTGTATTTTCTTTTGGCTCTCAAAGTGTGCAGCCAGCATGGAGACAAACGCTGCATCGATGCGGTATGGCGTGTGCAGAGGAGAGTCGGACCGGGCCGTCATTTGCAGCTGTTTCGCGGCAATCAAATCGAGCATGGCCAGGCGCATGAGCTCTCCGAGGTACAACCCCGACGTCTGCTTCTCGAAACGCTGCTCGCCTGGCGCTGCGCTCTCTAGATCGAGAATGTCATCGTACATGCAGCTCGGCAAGGCCGCTGCTGTCTTGTCAAACCAAGCCCCCCACTCAGTGTTGATGACCATGACGGCATCCTTCCCCCGAAGCGTCTCATATTTTTGTGGTAGTTTGTCGATCCGGGCGACGTGTTCCACATACGCAGCATTCGTCCCTGTGCCAAAGATGGCGCCGAGCAGGGGACTGCATGCTTCCGACGAGGTGTATGCTGTTGCCATGAAGGTGCCGACACTGTCATTGGTGAGTGCGACGACGCGCACGGGCAAAGTCTGTCGGTCAAGAGCGTCTTGCAGCATGCGACAGGGATCTCGTCCGATCGCGTCTGGAATGTCCCAGCCCTTGTCCCACTGCAGCATGGTGCCGTGGCAGACGGAATGGCTCTCGTAGGTGAAGCTAAAGGTGAATCCGAGTTTGTGGACACCAGGCCAGGACGGTCTTGTCGACTTGGGATCTCTCTGGGCGGCCATTTCTGGATTTCCTTTGAGAAACGAGGCAATGTTGGTCGCGACAAAGTCGAAGAGGGGTTCGTGTCTGGGGTTCACCATGAACTCGCGCGGGACGGCGTACTTGGACTGCTTCATGGTGTATGTCGAGTTGCCGTGGAGCTCGACGGCGGAGATTCGACAGTTGGTGCCTCCCAAATCGACGGCGAGGAACACGCCCGTTTCTGGGCCATTGGGCAAGTTGGTCACAAAAGAGGGCATCTGCGTGCCGCCCTTTCCGCTCAACGCTTGGCCTGCAAAACTGTGATTAGGTAGCGATTGGCAGGCAGTTGTCGAGTGTCACCAACTCATGTATTGCGGGCAGTGGTCCGTGACACGGCATATTTCCGCTGGGCTTGGCGAGAAACCAGCGACGACGCCTTGCACGCTGGCCTTGGCCGCCATTGCACGAAAGAAGAGTTTGAGTGGGATACGCAACAGCCATGGCTACCAGGAGAACAGCTGTATATATATCAAGTTTAAACAGCACCTGATATAGCATCGCTTTACTTGATGGCCAGATTTCCCTAGGCGAGAACTCGATTCTACCAGAGCAGCTTGGCCCGGCAATATACGGCCAAACCCGCCGAGCATTGCCGGTCAGAATAGGCGTGCACATTCATCTCCATTGTCCGTAGATTCCAGCGCTGCCGGCCCCCACAAAGCTGAGATTAATTCCAAGTATCCGTAGCAAACGCGGGGTCGGCAAAGTCGGGACGAAGATGGCTCCGCTTGCAAGTTCCTATTCATCCTCATCGGCAAACATGAAGTTTTGTGAACTACGTATCACACTCTTGACGCAAGATACTCGTCGCTTTTGTCCCGCAGCCCGTCGTACAGTGTCCATCTCCAGCCCTGCGTATACGACAGGGACCAGACTCGTATCAATAGTAAGCAACACGCACTGTGTCGCGTCAAGTTGTCGCTTATGCCACACGGCCCTGGGTGAAGCTGTGGTGGAGCTTTTCTCCCCCTGCATATCCAACTCCCCAGAAACACACCACCCGCGTCATGCAAACAGCCGAGCGAACATGGGGAATCGACGCACGGAAGCTTGACAAGTAGAGCTTGACCTACGCCTTCACCATCTCGCCTTGCCGAGCAGCGTCCCGCCCGGCGCAGCGCGGCCACCATGGAAGACGAATCAGGAGAGCCAAAGGCGCGCAAAGCCTGCAGTGAGCACACCCCCCTCCCCGATTCTCTGCTCGCCGCCGCCTAGTCTGCTAACCAACTACAACATGCAGTCAATTGTCGCCGGCAGAAAATGAAGTGCAGGATGGACGCTGCCGGCAGCACGTGTCGCCGCTGCGAGCGCGCCGGGCTGCCCTGCATCTTCGTGCCCCGCGCCAACGCCTCGGCCTTCATGGTGCCCGCGTCCATGCCGCTCGCCGAAATGGCCTCGTACGACGTGACGCGCGACATCCTGCGCCGCGTCAAAATTATCGAGGACCACCTCGGACTCGCCGTTTCTGGACGGGTCGACGACGCCGAGGCGCGATCCATCCTCACCCCGACCACGCAGGATGCGCCCGTGTTGCCGGACAGTGCGGGCGATGCGCATCATCGGCAGCACCTGTGGGATGCGGCGGCAAGTCTTGAGCGGTGCATGAGCGGGCCGCGCGATGCGGCGCTCTGGGATCGGGGCGTTATTCAATACCTGTGGCAGACGTACGACTTCTCCCCCCCCCCAGCACGCGGTGAAATGGCTGGCCGCTAACCTTTTGGGGGGCAGGTTTCACGACAAGATGCCTGGCTTGCACTTCTTCCCCGGCAAGCAAATCTTCTCATCCCCGCAGCCCCTGCTGTTGGCCTCGATGCTGTACTGCTCCAGCATCCGCGGCGCCGCCGAGCACGCCGCCCTCGCGCCGAGCTACCTCGCCGTGCTCAGCTGCGCCATCGCCCAGCTCAGCATCCCCGGCAGCGAGCTCGCGATCCCCTTTGACGACGCCGCGTCCTCGGAAGCCAGCGCCTTTCAAGCCGTGCTTGGCCTTGTGCTGGCGAGCCTGCTCAGCGAGGCGCGGGTGCGCGAGACGGGCCTGTGGATCGCCGTCGCGTACCGCCTGATCCTCGAGCACTGCCCGCCGCAGACGGACGCGGCTGTCTTTGACTGGCCCGCGCTGCTCAAGGGCGTGCAGATTGTCGACCTCGAGCACGCGTCGCTGCACCTGACGTGCCCCATCGTCCCGATGGAGCCGCCGTGTCCGGCGCTGCAAATTCCGCATCACGATCCGCTGTATCGGCTCTCGCGCATGATGCACACCGGTCTATCCCGGTTCTCCGGCCGCGGTCTGCCGCCGATCTGGTCCTGCTTCACAGGAAATTCAGGCACGGGTGCGCCCTCGCCCATAGCGTTTACGCCGATTGATGCCGCCGTCATCCGCGACTGGGCGCGGAGCCTCGATGACTGGCTGGTCGAGTTCGCCAAGACGGGCGACGAGACGGACGAGCAGCGCACGCTCGTGTTCCGGCAGTATGTGCTGCATCGGCTGGTGGTGCTCTCCATCTACCACCCGGCGCGGGGCTGTTCGCTGCAGTCCAACGGCATCACGCTGCACGAGCAGCACGAGCTGCTTGTCTCTGCGCGAGCGACGCTGAAGCTGCATCTCAACGACAAGTCGATATGGTCCAACTGGGACCTCGTCATGATTACATGGGCCGCGCTCATTGTCATGCATGGGATAGAGGCGGGCGCCGGTGAGCAAGACGGTATGGTATTCATGTGCTCAACCTTGAAGCGTGTATTTTTGCAGCTGACTCGTGGTAGATTTTCAAAACATCCGGATTCACATGGATGTATTACGCGATACGAACGAGCCGAAGCCGTCGTTGCGCGAAAGACTGGCGGCGCGGCTGGAGCAAGAGCTCGATTCTCTGCACACACCGAGCCCATCGACCGTCCCGATGGACATGGCGCAGGGCCTGGACTACTCGTGGCAGTTGTTTGATCAGGCGATCATGGAACAGGTCATGGATCCCTTCTGGATGCGGCCGAATGGGAGCCACCCAGGAATGCCCCATTAAGCGCGCATAACGAGAAACATGAAAGACACGACCCTGTACGAACAGCATGGAATAATGGGCAATCTCAGACCAACAACAAATGTACTTTGGCTTCTTGAGACGTATATGCCCTTTACTAAGTCCTTTCCTAACTCCTACCCTACCTCTCTTACTTCTTACCCTATGGCGCACCCGGCCCCAAAAAAAAATCCGGGACCACCCAGGTCCTGGTTCAACCGTATGTTTGTATAGGAAAAGCCCGATGCGGGGGTCGAACCCGCAACCTTGAGATTAGGGGTTTCTTGCAAGCTTGTAAGAGTCTCACGCTCTACCGATTGAGCTAACCGGGCCAATCACTTGGATGTGATTCCCGGATGTTGTTGAACACGGCCGCGCTTAACGAGCCTTAAGAAGGTTTGTCACCTCGGGCTGCGCGCGAATTGCCGCTTCATTTCCCCGAAACGAGCGACATGTTCCCAAAGACTTTTTTTTTTTTCTAAACCTGCGGAATGTATAACCTCAGCCTTGGACTTTACCCCAGCATTGTCTCTAGTTAGAACCAAATCGTGATTCCATATTACAAATTTCTCGCTGCGCATAAATCGTGCACTTTTTCTTGGCCTGTGCGCTGCACCCCATCATGGTGAAAATATTCGACCTCTTTTCTGTAAACCCGGCAAGTCCTTGATCTCCTGCTGGGGCATGCCGTCGGGGACTCGGTACCAACTAGACGCAGAAAATACGACACACCACGCAGCACCATGCTCAAGCCAAGTCTACACCTCAATCTCATAGACCGCAAGCACGGCCTTGTGATCTGACGGCCACTCATTATCCTCGTGGTCGGGCTGGGGCATCGGGTTCCCCACGACCAGCGCTCTCGCATCCTGCACCGTGAGCTTCCGCCCCTTGTGGTAGACAAAGTCGATGCGGTCCATGGGCTCCTTTCTGCCGTTATTGTCCAGGTAGATGGGCGACCAGGTGATGCCGGGCTTGGTGACCGGGTCCGGGTGGACAGCCCGATACGCGTCTACCAGACCAGCCTCGGTCGGCAATTTGGATGTCGGCCACTCCGTGTACCCGGTGCCGCAGTGCCGGTGCTTTGTGGCGTCGATCCAGTCGAGATGCGAAGGGGCGTTGAAATCGCCGGTCAAGAACACCGGGATGCTGTCCGCCTCGGCGATGCTGTCCTTCATGGCCTCCATAATGGCCGTGATCTGCGGGGTGCGGCCGGATTGTGCCTCGCGCTTCATGACCTCGTCGACGCTCATGTGGTCGAAGCAAAAGTCGTACGGCCCGTACGGGTCGTAGCCGAGGTGGCAGTTCCAGACGACAACGTCGCTGCAGCCGGTGCCGTCGAGGCGGATGCGGACGGCGCCCGCCCGGTCGGGCGCCTCGAGCACGGCGACGATGGGGTAGCGCGTGATGACGGCCACGTCGGGGCCCTGCCAGGAGTGCCAGCCGAGGGCGCGGGCGAGACGGATCGCGTGCCCGCCGCCGCTCTCCTGCAGCGCGACCACGTCGAGGTTGGCGCGCGCGAGGCACCGGATCTGCTTCTCGTGGTGGTTCCGCACCGGCTGCCCGCCGACCCAGATGTTGAAGCTCAGCACGCGCAGCGTGCGCACCAGCGGCTGTCCGCGCTGCCGCACAGGAATCCGGACCGGCAGCGTGACCGCCGCGCCGCTGTTTTCGACGCGGATGCAGAGAGTGGTGTCGCGGGCGTCGGCGGGGGGGCGTCCACTGATGATGCCGTGGATATCGACGCTGGCCCAGCAGTCCGCTTCTGGGGTTGAGAAGCGGGTGTTGGGGTCGCCGGCGCGGTTCACGAGGTTGCCCACGTTGGCGGTGAAGGGTTCGCCCTGGCGCGCGTTGTGTGTGGTGAAGGAGTCGGTGAACAGGGCCAGGTCGCTGGGGCAGCCGAGATTGACCACGAGTGGTTTCGCCAGCAGGCGGTATCCGCCGCTGAACAAGAGATAGGCTTTGTAGGTGCCGCTTCGCAATTTTTCTGTCGAGACAGACACGCTGCCTCGGCGCGAAGGCGCCCAGGCCCAGGCCAGCGAGTCCTGCACGTAGTGACCGTGGTCGGGCCCGCCGCCGTAGGCGTAGTAGATGCCGATCCAGTTGTGGTCGCTCACATCAGCGGACGTGTATTTGAAGGTGAAGCTTCGCCTGGAAAGGTCGAGGGTCAGGCTACCAGGGTATGTGTCCGCGTCTGCTTTGGCGTTAGGGTCACGCGACGACCCGGAGCGGTCAGCCTGGCTGCCTGTGAGAACTTGCCTGGCATGCTGGGCGCGTGAAGATGAATGGATTGCGTGACGCTGGCGAGGAAGTATTGGGCCAGTTTGAATAAACGGCAAGGGCATGCAAGTGAAGATGTGATTAAATACTGGGTTGATCTGAAGATCTACGTCACTCCGCTGCAAACGCACCGTGCGGGGCTCAATTTACACCAGACGAATTGTTCTTTGCGGGGTTGAGTCTCGTTACAAAAAGGAATCAAGCAAAGAACGGGACAGTTTAGCGAGTAGACTGGTCAAATTAATGGTACTGGTAGCAAACTTCGCTGATCAATGGATCCATTGAATAAACATTGTGGGAGTCAATGTTGGCCATTTGCATATGATTCCACCTTAAGTAAAATCGAACAGCATCTGTCGTTGCTCGGACAACACAAGGAAAAGGTACCCACAAATAGATTCACCCACGGAGAGGTACCGACCCCTCACCCCTGGGCTACCCCTAGGCAGCTTCTTTCCTTGAATCAACTATTATCTACGGATAATATCTCACTGCACACAAAGCACACGGTAAGTACATACATAGGCATCAAAAAATAAGTGGACCCATGGTTAGGCGTTTGTTAGGCTGCAAACGCTGTAATCCCCGCGCCAACAAACTCCACAGCCGACGCCAACTAACGAAACCGACCCTGACCCCAAGTCGGCATGAGCACCATACGAGTCGACCACCAGTCGGCTGGCGAAAAGTCGGCCAAGCTCGCGGTGCTCATCGACGCGGACAATGCGCAGCCCAGCATGGCGGGCGCCCTGCTCGCCGAGATTGCCAAGTACGGCACGCCGTTTGTGAAGCGCGCATACGGCGACTGGACCGGCACGTCGCTCAAGGGCTGGAAGGAGCGGCTCCTCGAGAACTCGATCCAGCCCGTGCAGCAGTTCTCGTACACGCAGGGCAAGAACTCGACCGACGCGGCCATGGTCATTGACGCCATGGACCTGCTGTACACGCAGCGCTTCGACGGCTTCTGCCTCGTGTCCAGCGACAGCGACTTTACCCGGCTCGCGTCGCGCATTCGCGAGGCCGGCCTCGTCGTCTACGGCTTCGGCGAGCGCAAGACGCCCAGGCCGCTCGTCACCGCCTGCGACAAGTTCATCTACATTGACAACCTAGCCGTCGACGTCGACTTTGCCACCCAGCCCAGCACGCCCACCCGCAAAGAGCCCCCCGCCGCGAAGCAGTCCATCCCCGATGCCGTCTTCATCCGCAAGGCCATCCAGGCCGTGTCCGACGATGACGGCTGGGCCAACGTCGCCCGCCTCGGGTCGCTCATCACCCAGTGGCAGCCCGACTTTGACCCCCGCAGCTTTGGCTTTGAGAAACTCGGCCTTTTGCTCAACGTATATCCCTTTGTGGAAACCACGCAGCGTTTTCCACGCGAAGGCAAACCACCAGTTCTCTATGTGAGACTCAAGTGGAGGGTCAATAAGTAAACACAATACGTCATTCTTTCGCATCATCACTTGCTATTGAACAAAGACTTGGCTTTGACTAAATAGCTGGGAGACGAAATGCTAAAGACGTTTGGCAGAGTACGCCCCACGTATACTATAACTTGTATATAAATACTATAGTATAATAGCAGCGACTTTATAACCTCGGAACGACGTCGTACTTCTTTCCAGCCTTGTCGTACTTGTAAGCGTAGTCGGCCACATCAAAGCTCCAGTCACCATCGCCTTTGAAAGTCGCATCACAAACTGCCTTGTTGCCTGCCATGAGCGCCTCACAGCAAGGACGAAGAAAAGGTTAGCGTTTCGAGAAGACACTACGGCAATACACGACTTCTAACCCCAAAGTTCGGCAAGGCGGCCAGCGAACATTGAGCTCGCGCCGCAGCCAAAGTTCCCGCTGACGAGATCGGCCATGGCGGTGACCGATGGACGGCACCCTGGTGTTAAACGTCGATGTGTGGGACCACGACGCCGACTGTTACCCTCGCTTTTTGCCTTTGTGGTGGTGTGTACAATACCTCGGCCAAGATGACTTGCCATTTCTAGAATCACGTTTCCTGTTCCTCTGCGTGTTTTCGGTCGCGCTTCGGCCGCCGGAGACGGGGACTGACACAACAGTCCCTGCGCGACAACTACTCGGCGTCAGAACGGACGCAAATGCGTTCCCTGCTATTGCCGTGACAAGTGATGTCTGCCGGCGCCGATGCCGGGTAATTCTCACGGGTATCCGGCATGGGCTGATGCCCACGGCAAGGGTCCCCTTCACCCATTTTGGGGCAAGATCGGCCTTTGATGCGACCCTGTTTTCCCCGCAGACGGCATTGACAAGCTTCGCGATTGGCCGATTGCCGTAGCCTCTTGCCTATTTCGTCGTGCCCTTGTCCACGCGTCCGGGTGACGGGGCCGGGTTTCTGTCTATAAGGGCAGGTAGGCTGCTCATAATAAAGCGCGGCACCCTATCGCGAGCTGTGATGCAACCCTTTACATTTACGGGATATTTTGTCTTCAAGCAATCATACCGAAAATGCGACCGCACGGCACGAAACATTTTGTTCACGAGAGTAAGCAGCTGCAACGTAGGCTTACCACCTTCGAAAGATGGCCTAGCGTGTGACTGTCACGGTCGGAATAGCCTCTCCCAGCGCACGTCGTTGCTCCGAGCAGCCGACGTGCCTCGACCTCCGTGGTCCTTTTCAGCAACTATAAAGTCGACGGAATGCCGGTCGAGTAAACGATGAAGCTCATTCAAAACACCGGCCATCGGCTCCTTACCCACATCCTCTTGAAAAAACGAAGCTCTCATCCACTTCACACCGCGCACGATGAAGTATTATCTCCTCCTCTCTTCCTTGGCCGCCCTGGCCGCGGCCATCCCGGCCGTCACGCCCGGGCGCGCCCTGCGCCAGCGGCTGCCCAGCTCGACGCCGCGCTCGCACGTCAAG